TTGAGAGAGACAGAGCACGATAAGGGAAGGGCAGAGAAAGAGGGAGACACAGAATCTGAAGCAGGCTCCAGGCTCTGAGCTGTTAGCACAGAGCCCAACACGGGGCTCAAACTCACGAACCGTGAGATCATGACCTGAGCCCAAGTCAGACATGTAACCGGCTGAGCCACCTAGGAGCCCCAGAGTTTGTACCTTTTGACTCCCTTCACTCATTTTGCACACCCCCTTATACCTCACCTCTGGTAACCACCAGTCTGTTCTCTGTATCTATGAATTTGGGTTGTTTCTTTTTTATTTTTGTTTTGGGGATTTGGGGGGTGTTTTTGTTGTTTGTTTTTTAGATTCCACATATCAGTGGAATCATGCTATGTTTGACTTTCTGTGACAGGCTTTTTTCACTTAGCAAAATGCCCTCAAGCTCCGTTCATGTTGTTGCAAATGTCAAGATTCTCTTCTTGGAATGCTGTTCGTGGCGGAATAGTATTCCATTGTAACAATTATAACACAACTTCCTCATCTATTCTTCCATGGATGGACACTTAGATTTTTTCCATGTCATGGCTGTCATAAGGAATGCTGCAGTAAACGTGAGGGTACAGATACCTTTTTGAGTTAGTGAAACACCTCTAATTTTTATTAACTTCACGTATTGGGAGTAAGAAATCTGAACAAAATTCTTCTACATAAAAAATAGAAAGTCTTTGAAGGAAGGGAGGAGGGAAAGGAAAATTGCCTTAGCCCTCGGAATTGTTGGGACCCAAAGAAAGTCTAGAGGAGTCTTCCTTCCCATACACACACCAGCGCCTGTCCTTTGCTCCCCATCCTAAGGCGGGCTCCAGCTGGGGAGACCTAGGTGGGCTCAGCATGTTGGTGAAGTTTACAGTGAGCCCATCTCCCCTACAAGGCCTTGGGCAAGGCTGAGGCATTTGTGGGTTACAGTGCATGGGTTTCCGCTCAGCAGTTGGGGGAAAGATAGAAGAAGCGATACAGATCTTTAAGTAAGGTAACCACGAAGCATGCATGCGCTGGCTACTCTTGGTGCCCTAGTCTTTGCATTGGTTATGGCCCTGACAATTTACATATAGATTTGATTTTCACATGCAGAATGTATTTTCCCAGAGTAATTTTTACACTGTGATGTATGTGGAGAACAGATTGGAGAAGGCAGAGTAGATGTGCAGTGGGCCCAGTAAGAAGCATTTCAATACCCAGGGCAGATTGGCTGGTGGTCTGGTTCAGTGTGGCATTTGGGCTGATTCTTGCATCCCAAGGCAGTATGAAAACAGAAGTTCCCTCTATCTCTGATTTATGCTCTGCACACCATTTAGCTTTAGCAGTGACCATTTGACTTTTCTTTTTTTTCCAGCTTTATTGGGATATAACTGACATATAACATTGTGTGAGTTTAAGGTGTGTGATGTGTTGATTTGATACACGTATATACTAGCAATGACCATTTGGAACCAATGTCAGGCAACTTGTTTCTTGCTCTGTTTTTGACAGCGATGGTGACACTTCCTGTATTGCTGGAGGGAAGGGTAGGTGATGTGGTAGCTGCCTTGGGGCCTTTGTTCTTCTTTCTCGAGGTCCTAATGAGCTGGGGCTTTCTCTGTCCTCATTCCCAGGTAACAAGTACGAAGTCAAGGTATACACTGGTGATGTCATTGGTGCAGGGACCGATGCTGATGTCGTCATCAATATCTTCGGAGAGTATGGAGACACGGGTAATGGGTTTGAAATCCTCTCTTCCCTAGCTGTGCCCAGTTCTGCTTCTTAGCTGGGCTTCCCCCCCCCCCCCCCCCCCCCCCCCCCGCCCACTCCTGGCAGAGGAAGGCAGCTCCAAGTCTCTTCTGTTGAGCAATAATTCTGCCTGTGGTGTGGTTTGTCACAGCCTTCCCTGGGCAGCAGGGTGCTCATCTTGTAAAATGTATGTGTGTGATGTGTTTTCAGAATAAGGTGTTCTTGGGTTCGGGTCTATTTAAAATTGTCCTTCATCCTAGACAAGAACAGACCCAAGCTTTACTTCCATCAGGGAGCTCAACTGTTACTTTCCTAACCTCCTTAAGCTCCATCTTGAGTTATATTTTGAATGTGGCTGGGCATGGGTTGATTCAGTGCACTGGCTTGATGCAGACCAGAATGGGATCAGGGGATAGAATTAGACTTGGCTTCATGGGTGAAGCAAGAGCTGAGGACACAGACATGGCTGCAGGTGTTGGGAGACCATTCAGGCCAGTAGAACTGGGATGGAGAGTCTCTCCTGCTTCTTCCAATTTTATGAAATAACAGAGGAGTCAGAAAATCTACCGAGGTGTGAACTTTGGACACAATGTATTAAAGAATTCAGAATGCATTGCTGAGCTTATAAGAGGAGAAGAGAAATCTCCAGGTGCCAGAAATGAAGAGGGAGCTCAAAACCAAAGTATTAGCTCTGAATTGGTGCTGTGGCTCTTGGAAGGAGGGACCTTTCATGTTCAGTTATCTACAGGCTAGATTGTCATCCCCATTTGGGGTCAGAAAATGAGATTTCGTCCTGCATGAAGCAAGACAGGCAAAATTAGAACCACATATAAAGCCAGGAGCCCTGAAAGTTCACAGGAACATCTTCAGTGAAAAAATAGGCCAGGAAAAAATTTGCTCAACAGTACAGTAACCTTATCTCTGCAAGAGCTCTAGATTGAAAAGACAGTTGCTGAGAAATCGATACCTCCTGCTTGCATACATGTGGGCTTGACCTCCGATTTTACACTACAGGTGTGATTTGGGAACCCCCACTCCCCCAAAGGACACAAAATTGGTTCCGTGCCAGTAATACCCTTGGGAGTTTACAGAAGCATTGTATAACATTCCCAAAGATAAGGTACTGGAGATGACTTCACCTTCCAAAATTACCAAACACTCAAGGACATAATCCACCATGACGAAACATCAGCGGACACAACAGATTAAATCCTGCAGAATTTCAGATAATAGAGTAATCTGAGAAAAACTACAGTTGAAGAATGTTTAAATGGACTAGAGACATGAACAAAACAACGGAAGAAAATAAAAAGGCCCCATGAAAAATATAGTAAACAGAAATATAGAAAATGAAAATGTAGTTACCAAATATAAACACTTAATGGATGTGCTAGGCAACACAATTAGAAACCACTGAATAGAGATTATAAACTGTGACACAAATAAGCGCAAAATACTCAGATATAGCAGAGGTATAAAGAGTTGGAAAATATAAATGAGAGGTCATGAGATATGTAGGACAGAGTAAGTTGTGATAGATGTTGAACAGGAGTTCCAAATAGAGAATCCATAGAATAAGCAAGAGGATATATTTGAAGAGATAATGGCTGAAACTTTTTCAAAATTGAGCAAAGATATGGATTTTCAGATTAAAGTAACAGAAGGAATCATTGAGCAGCATGAATGAAAACAAATCCACATTTAGATACATTGTGGTAAAACCAAAGGCAAAGGGAAAGATCTTAAAAGTAACCAGATTTGGCAGATTCTCTTCCACAGAAACAATTAGGTTGATAGCAAATTCCTGTCTGCTACCTACACAAGGTCATACGTTCATGGAATAATAGCTTTAGCGTTCTGAGCAAGAATATATATCAACCTAGAACTCTAGATCCAGTTAGGTTATCATTCCAGAGGGAGGGCAAAATTAATGAATTGCCCTGCAAACAAAGAGAAATAGTTACCACTCATAGACTTAAGCAGCCACTGAAGAATATGCTTTAAGAAAAAGGAAATCTGGGGCGCCTGGGTGGCTCAGTCAGTTAAGCATCCGACTTTGGCTCAGGTCATGATCTCGCGGTTTGTGGGTTTGAGCCCCACTTGGGCCCTGTGCTGACAGCTCTGTGCTGTCTCCCTCTCTTTCTCCCCCTCCCCCGCTCGCACTCTGTGCACACTCTCTCTCAAAAATAAACATTAAAAAAAATGAAAAAACATTAAAAAAATAGTAAAAAGAAAAAGGAAATCATGCCCACAAGACAGGTAAAGCAGGGAAGAAAGTGAGCAAAACTATTGATAATTATGTGACAAAGCTAACCAAGCACTGACTATAGTAAACAATTCTAATGACTATCATTAGGGCATGACAAAATGTGGACCCAAAATACTCAAACACAGTAATCTTAAGGAAGGTGGATAATGAAAGTTAAATCATAATTAGGTTCTTGGCCACAGTTCATTCCCCAAGTGATAGGAGAGTAGAGACATTGATGAACTTTAGACCTCAGTGAGTCCAGTATGCATATTAAAATTGTAAAAGTAACCATGCCCCCCCCCAATACAAAATGTGTAACTTCTAAACCAATAGAGGGAATAAAGAGAATAAAGCCTCAATAAAATGCAATAGAAGGCAGGAAATGAGGAAAGGGGAACAAAGAAAAAGAATGGCCAATCATAAAAAAATGTAAATGTATAATAATCACAATAAATACAAATAAACTAAACTCATCAGTGAAAGGATAGTGTTTTCATATTAAATGAAAAGAAAGAAAAATCCAGCTTAAACATGTGATGCCGAAGGGCTGAGAATAAATAAAATTGAATGACATGTGTCAGGAGCATGTCAGTAACACAGAAGATGGTTGTGTAGCCATATTATTATTCGCCAAATTAAACTTTAAGGCAAAAACCACTTTGTGAGAAATAAAAGTATATTGGACAATGACAAAAGGAACAATGAACCTACAAGATGTAATAATTATGAACGCTTATAAATTTTACAGCATATTCCCAAAATATGGGAAACAGAAATTAACTAAATTCTTGAAGAAACTTGACGAATGCATAAGTATAATGGAAGATTTTAATACATCACTCTCAATAACTGATAAGTAAAATGGATAAAAATTTAGTATGGATACAGAAGACTTTAACTACACAGTTAATAAGCTTGATCTACTGAATCTATGTAGATTCCTGTGTCCAACTGGTAGAGAATACACATTCTTTTCAAGCACTTAATGACCGCATACTAAACCACAAAGCAAATCTTAACAAACTGAAATTAAGCAATAAGACAGAGACAAGATTCTTTGATCACAGTCAGTAAAATTAGAAGAAACTCCAACCTCTGAGTCCATTTGGAAACAAATTTTAACTTTCATGAAAAATGATAATCAACTATAAAATTCAGGAGAATGATCAGAACCATGGGAGAGAAAGTTTAATAAAGATGCTGGGTACAAGATTAATAGATAAATCTTAATAGAAACAACAAGCAAACATTTAATTTAAAAATAAATTAATAGCAATATTAAGGTGCCCAATATCACCTTACAATGGAAATTATAAGGTGCCTAAGAAAAACTAACAAAAAGAGCTTTCTGTAAAGAATATAAATATTTACTTGAGGATATACAAGAATATTTAAACGGAGAAATATGCTCGTGGAGGAGAATGGTCTCAAATTCATTAAGAAGTCAAATTTTCCCAGATTAGCCTATGAATGCAATGCAATTTCAGTTACATTTCCAAAAGGCAATATCCCACAGTTTAAGCTGCTAATAAAATTGCCATCCATAAGGGCTAACTATTTCCAAGACTATTTTGAATAAGGAAAATAATATTAACAATATGACTAAGTGAGGGTATTTACTCTGATCTCTAAAAGATACCACAGATCTCTAAAAACTAAAACAGTGTGGTATTGATAGAAGGAGAAACAAACCAGTGAAACAGAATAGAGTCTAGACCCACACAGAGAGGTAGTGTTATAAATCAGAAAGAAAGGATGGAATATTCAATTATTGGTGTGCAAACAATTGTCTTACCATATGAGGAAAGATAAAATTAAATCTTTTTACCTTTCACCATACACAAAAATAACTTCCAGATGGGCTACAGACTTACATGTGTAAAAGCAACACTATGAAATTTTTAGAAGAAACTTTAAGAGCAAGTCTTTTGAATTTCAATTTAGGATGGAGTTTCTTGAACTATTCACTAAAAGCACAAACAACAAAGGAAAATATTTATAAAGTCTACTAAAACAAAAGAAGTGTCTGTATGATAAAAGACACCATAGACAGAGGAGAGGTAATAAAGAATATAAAATATATGAACAGAAAAAATTACAGAAGAGCAGGATCTAAATGGCCAACATATATGGGTATATCTCTCCCCCCACCCAAAAATATAAATGTATATGAACAGTATATATTATAATCTCTCCACATAATCAAGAGAATATAAATTAAAATCACAATGAGATACTATGGTATATATATTGATATAAACTTTTTAAGTATATATGTTAATGATGATTGTGGGGAATGGGACCCCGAATATACTGCTGGTGATAATTGATGTACAAGCATTTTGGAAGGTAATTTTACAATACCTAATACACCAAAGGTGAGCACACCCCAGGATCCAGCGACTCTTTGTAGGTGTCTACTCAGAGCATTTGTCACAGAAATGCAGCGGAAGGCAGTTATGAAAGAGTCCATTTCAGTGCTGTTTACAATAGCAAAAAACCAGGCACAACCAAAATGTCTATCAGCAGAAGAAACATTAATAGTATTTTCTTTATTCAATGACTTTTATATAGCAGTTCCACAAATGACCTCAAGCTACCAGCATCAACAGGGTAATCTCAAAAGCATAATATCAACTGAAAGGAAAGTCAGTTGCACAGGGTATGTTGACGACGATGGTAGGATGATTAGAGAGCGATAGCAACAGCCTCCATCACTAACATAACACTTTCCATGGGTGGGTGTCACCACCAGTGTTTAGTGTGTACCAGTTCAGTTCATCCTCACAGCAGGACCCTGTGTGGTGGTGCCATTATCCCCACTGTATAGATGAGGAACCTGAGACAGAGAGATATGGACTGCGATGTTATTTATGTAAATTCTAAAACATGCAAAAATAGCACGTTTTCTTTATGAATACCTCCGTGTGCAAACAAAAATTCACGGGGACGATACATATCGCTTGTGGATAGTGTTTATTTAGGGGAGGGAGAAGGCGGGGGAAGGCAGGATGGCCAGTGAGACTGTAGACTTACCAGTTATCTCTTCAAGACAGAGAAAGGTCTAAAGCAAATTAGACAAAGTGTTAGCATCTGTTCTGCCTCTGAAATCTGGGCAGTGGGTGTACAGATGTCTTCCTTTTTTTTAATGTTTTTAAAATTATTTATTTTTGAGAGAGAGAGAGGGAGCATGAGTGGGGGAGGGGGAGAGAGAGGGAGACAGAAGATCCGAAGCAGGCTCTGCACTGACAACAGTGAGCCCGAGGTGGGTCTCAAACTCAGGACCTGAGCCGAAGTTGGAGGCTCAACCAGCTGAGCCACCCAGGCACCCCTCTACAGATGTTTTATACTACTTTCTGTACGGTTTTGAGTTTTTGCCATTTAAAACATAGAAAGATTTAAAGAATTAAATTTTAGCAGAGAAGGTGAATGGATGGCATCAGCACGGAGCTGGTGCTTAGGTGGGGCCATAAGGGTTAATATGTAAGCTTGGGAACATAATAATGGAAAATTGAAAAGCAGAAAGAACAGGTTAGAATGGATCCTAATGACGTGCTTATCACCCAGTGTGACTTCCGACGTGTAATTTCAGTTCTCCAAGCTTGTTTCTTCATCCACAAGACAGAATTAATAATACCCCCTCGCAGATTGTGGTGACAAATAGAAAGAAAAGAAAAAAAAAAATCTATGTGAAACTAATGTGTCTGATGGTGGCCGTCCTGTTTTCCAGAAAAGGAGGCAGGCCTAAGGAAGTGTGTCAGCTGTCAGGGTCCCAGCACAATCCTGGACCAACTTCCATGGTTGTGCTCCCAGTTTGGGACAAGCAACTGGCACAAGCCAGGCAGGGCCTCAGCTCCAGGGATGGGGGTACACATGTGGTTACCAGGATGGGAACTCCAGACTAAGATAGAAATCAGAAGCCCAGTTCTGGGACCTGGGCACAAGCCACACACAGGACAAGCTTGACTGGAGGTTGCCACGAGAGATTTACAGAGCCCAGAGATCTCAGGGTAAAGCTATTCTTGTTGACTTAAAAAAAAAAAAATTAACATTGTTGTTAGAGTAGTTTTAGGTTCACGGCAAAAGTGGGTGCAAGTACAGATAGTACCTATGTACCACCTGTCCCCCACCCTGCCCGCCAGCCTCCCGCCTTATTGACTTTTGAGACTACCTTCAGCGGGCAAACCATTGGTTCTTTCTCCTCTTCGGGTCTCCTTTGTAAGTTTCTTGCCTGTGTGTGTGTACAGGGGAGCGTAGGCTGGAAAATGAAAAGGACAACTTTGAAAGGGGAGCTGAAGACAAGTTCACACTGGATGCTCCCGATCTGGGGCAGCTGATGAAGATCAATATTGGCCACAACAACAAGGGCGGGTCTGCAGGTTGGTTCCTGTCCAAGGTAGGTTCACCGCCTGTCTGTGGTTCCTGTGGCCTGGGAGGGGGAATTCTGGCTCTTCAGAGGGTATATTTCAGCCCTGACTTCCCTCTCTTGGTCTGTCTGTCTCCACTCTTCTACCTAAGCCTGCTGGCCAACCATACTGCCCGACCCTGCCCACATTACCCCCTTCCCAGAAAGCCCAGGTCTCCCATCGGAAAGTAACCAGGGCCTGATCATCCTTCAAGACTCTGCCGTGAAGCTCTCCCTGACTTGCCCACCAGAACCTCTCCCTCCCGTGAATGTTTATAACCCTGCCTGCTTAGAGCATTTGTTGGTCCCTAATCATAAGCTTTCTTGTGACTTATCTTGGGCTGTTGCCTTGCATCTTAGATGCCTTGTAGTCTCACCAACCCAAGACAATGGTAAGAATCAAGAAGAAAGCAAAAAGGCTTCTGGGAAGCTAAAACAGCAGGTTCAGAGCTCGTGAGGTGAGCTCATGCCCCTGGCTTTATCTTGCCCTGCCCTGATTTTGAAGGAGAGACCCCCTCAGACTCTCTCTCATAGCCTAGTGCTCACTTACAGTCCCTTCTAGCAAACTCTTGCCTGCAATTTTAAACCTAAAGTAGAAGATTAGAGAGGGAAAGAGTCCTTGTATTAGGTAGGCCTGTTGAAAACTGTAATGGGGACTCAGAGAAGATAGAAAAAGCCAAAAAATAATTAAAAATCCATAGAAGTCTGAGGTCACTTAGAAAATGGGCTATCAGCTCTTTGCAGATACTTCCCTTCATGAGGCTATCAGTATATTTCAGCTCATTCCAGAATGATAGGGAAAGGTTATTGTATAACATAGTTTTGAAAAATATTTTGAAAAAGCTCTTAGCGCTTAAAACAGAAACCCTTCCAATTTGAGACAGTTTGACAACGGAGAATGAGGCTGTCTGATAGGTGAGGTTTTGTTATTGCTTAACTTCATTTACTTCTAATGTCAGCAGTGGTTGACCTGCAGTTATCAGAAGACTTCTCATCCACACAAAATCCAGATGTGGCAGCTGCTTTCTAGGACACCTGCTTTTTTGCTGTGTCACCATCCTGGGCACTGTGGCTTTCGTCCTCTACCTTGTTGCCTCACGATCACATGATGGCTGCTGAGCCTCTAGGCATCTTAAGTGTGTTCCAGGCAGGAAGAAAAGGGAAGACCCAAGGGGAAAACCACTTTTTTTTTTTCCTGGCAAGCCTTTCTTTATTTTGAGAGATGCAGTGTCCTCCTTAGGCCTTTTGTCTACATTTCATTGGCCAGAAATGAGTCGTGTGACCAACCTAGCTACAGTGGAAACTGGGACAAATGGCTGGCTTTCCAGCCTTTATAAGAAGAAGGTGATCGGGAAAGGGCTGAGAGCATCCTCTCATGTCTGCCACACTCCTCTCCGTAACTAGCCTGGAAGTTCCTTGAGGGCCTCTCCCCAGCTCTTGGCCTGGGGTGGGGCATGAATTGGTGAAGTGAGGAATGGCCAAGGTTCCTTTGGAAAGGAAGGGGTTTGTTTGGCCGTAAGAGCAGCCAGCCTGGTGCTGAACAGGGTTCTAGGAGGCTAAATGCTGCTTGGATTGCAGAAGAAATGGGGCAGGGGTCCAGAACGAGAATAGCCAATGAGAGGCCGGGGTGTGTCTCCAGGTTGGAGGAGGGAGAGGAGGCAGGTGCAGTCTGTGACCTCAGCCGGGATGAGGCACGAGCAGGTGCCTCGAAGCCCAGTTCCCTCATCCGGGAAAGAAGGACCATCTGAGTGAAAACCCAGGGTTAGTGCAAAGAGCTGCAAGGTGCACCCCAGGGCCTGGGTGTGGCCTTGACAGGTTTTCCAACTGCCCTCTCCTGAGGTCAGGTTCCTTCTTGGCCACATGGGCCCACTCACCCCACTTCTGTGCTCTCAGAAACCTCATGAAGGAAGTGGGTTTTCGTGCCAGAACAGGCCCCTTTGCAAAAGGAAGGGGCAGCTTAGCAGAGTGAAAACATTTTTTTCTTTTTTCTTTTTTTTCCTTTAAGGTGTTGTAGATCTCGTTCCATTGCCTTCTGAAATTTGATATTGAGGCCAAGGAGATTTTTGTTTCTTTCAGGATAATCTGTTCTATTTTGTTTTTCTAGCCGGGATGCTTGCAGAATTTTTTTTTCTTTATATTTATAATAAGTCTCAACTGGGGGGCTCTGTTAGTTCATTTATGCCCCCATCCTCCTTCCCTCCCTCCTTCCTTTCATTCCTTCCTTTCTTTTGCTTTTGTTTTTGGTTTTTCAGGGACACGATTAGTCTTTACTTTTGTGCAAATGATATTTATTTATTTATTTATTTATTTATTTATTTATTTA